CCAGAATGAAGGGCAGGAGCAGCCCGAGCTGGTCGGGCTGGACTCGGGCTGCGCCCAGCCCGACACGGGACGCTGCCCCCCGCACTTACCATCCAAGCTCGAACTCTAGTCCTGGCCTTGAAATTGAAAGAGCCTCCTCCAAGGCCAGCAAAGTGTGGGGGAAGGGTAATTACTCGGAGGGCCGCTTCGGGCTCTTTTCGGCGGCCCGGGTGCTTGATGGCCACATGTCCAAGCAGCATCCGCCCAGCTCTGTAGTCGTTGAGTGGGGCTTTTGGGTTATAAAGCCGAGGTGACCAGCCCAAGTCGCCCAAGGAACAGAGCTGCAGCTCCCGGCGAGCTCAAGATATTTCGTCCTTTCTCTGCTTCCGGGGTCGCAGTGACCCTGCCCTGAGTGCAAGAAGCGAAGGAGAATCAACAGCCCGCCGCTTGAAGAAGAGCTCCGTCTCCATTTCTTTCCTTCATCTAGTTGTAGGGCTCCTTGCAAGAAGCATCCTTTCCTTGAGATACTTGGGATTATTTGGGGTTCGAGGCTTTTGGACTTTCCGGCTTTTGGATGTTTCAACCTTTTCTTCCTCGTGTCCACTGACCGCCGTAGCCGTGAGGACTCTGTGACGCGCCGCACCGCACTGCTGAGTGGCCCAGACGTCCGCCGAGCCAGTGGCTTGCAGAGTTCTTTCAGTAATATGTGCCTTTATGTTCATGGCACCCATGACTTTGGCAAGTGTGCCGGGCTTGGAATGTCGTCTTTTCGTCCTTCATCTTGGGATGTCGACCTGGATCTAGTGAACCTGCACATTGCTTGCCACCCTCTCGATGCATACCCGGCCTCTGCACCTGCCCGCAAGCTGCAATGTTTGGACTGCCGTGCCGATTCCGTGAACTGAAGACGAGAGCTCGGCAGTCGGAGAATCTGCAGATGCCTTATGCCACTTTTGCATCTTCCTCGGTACCCTGCGCTGGCAAACAGGGAACTGATCCATGCGGCCTTGCGGTGTTGGAAACATTTCGCATGCTTTAGAGGCAACTTGGGGTGATTACCATTCGGGCGCCAGAGTTTTCGATCCCCAAGCCCCGAGCATTTCAAGCCTCGTCTGAAAGCTGCCTTGATCAGTCCCGCGGCCTCTCCCATAGGTACGGGACTTCTGAGATTATCGGAAGACTGCCAGGACATCTTGCGAGGCTCTCTGCATGTGTCGTCCGACTCAACGGCGGCTCTTCGGCGCCGTCACGCGAAGCCGGCGCACCACTCCCTGCAGAATGCCCCCGAAATCCTAAACCCGGATATTATTGCATTCAAACAAGCCCTGAACCTCCCAAGCCCCTAAACCCCTAAACCCTTAAACCTCTAAACCCTCAACCTTTGCCACAAGGCTCTGGATCTGAAGACTCCTCCTGGCTCAGCTTCGAAGCACAGCAGGATCCCACACCTCTGTCCCTCTGGAAGACGGTTGAGGGTTTAGGGGTTTATAGGGTTTAGATCCCGAAGTGGTGATTTAGACAGTCGAAAGCGCCAGGATGTAGGCAAGCGAGCTGGTGAAGGAAGGCGAACCCTTGATGGGCTGCAGGGAAGCGTTCTTTGCGCGAGGTTTTCCGGTGCGAGCTTCGTTGGAGATACCTTCCACACCGCCAGACATCTGCTGCCCCGCAGAGGCTTGCACGCCTTCAGAAGGTGCTGTGTTTGAAGCCTGGACATTTGCGGCGATTCCGTTCCTCGAAATGCTTGCATGGGCGACTGCGCAAATTTCGGGGCATGCATCTGGCATCACTACGGACAAGCGAGCAAAGGACCTTGGGCGAACGCGGAAGTCGCGTGAGGATGTGCCGAATGGCGCGATAGCGCCTGTCCGGTGCCGGTGTTGCGTTCTGAAGATGTGCCAGATCTTCGTCGCGCGAAGCCCAGGACGATCTCCGTTGAGATGAATAAGACGTGTAGTTCCTGATCGAACTCACCACTTTCAAGCAGAAGCCATCCCGGTCGTCGCGACCGGAACTTGGAACCGGCGCTCTCCGGGCTTCAGCGTGGTCTCATTCCGCCCCTTCCGGCGGAAGCTCCGTCGGTGCTGGGCATCGGCTTTGTTTCATGGGTTTAGGGTTTAGGGTACCTGGTAGGCCTTAGTCGCATCTGCGCAGCTTGTAAAGCTTTCCAGAGGTGGCTTCTCTGGAGGGAAACGGGCTCTTTCGAATAAGACCATCGCATGCCGTGGAGGCCTCAAGACTCAAGAGAGTTGCGCGTTCCGGCGTGGTCGCATGCGTAGGCGCCCGGATATCCTTGGTAGGGCCATGGGAAGATGCAGCGGCAACACATCCCAAAGTCTGGGCCCCGAAGATGGGCCCTTAGGCCTTCTCGGGGGCTTCTAGGGGCCCTTAAGGGTACGTAGCGGCCCCGGGTTCCTACCTTCAAAAAAGGCACCATCGGAGACGAAAGCAGCTGCCCGCAGCAATTCGACGACAGCTCCCGCTGCAGCCTCATCACAGGGCTCCAAGAAGACGCAGCCCCAACGTGTTTTTCGGTTTAAGGTATGGGGTTTAGGGCATCAGGGCCAGTCGAATAGAACCCCTAAAAGGGACCTTTCTTTCTGTCTTATGAAGCATGTCAAAGCTTCGCTGACTATGTGCCGCGCGAATGGTGCACAGAGCAGCTTCAATACTCGACATGACAAAGCAGCCTTCCAAGATGTTCATGAAAGGGCTGCTGTACAACAAGCCTATCGCAGTTGAAGCGGTGGCTGTTTCAACTTAAAGTCCAACTTACGCATAGCTGTACCGGACGCAACGAGCTTGGCCCGGAGCCACTGCAGAACCGCAACCATGCCTGGCACGGAAGGCCTCGGGGTGATGCCGGCCACGTTAGGTGAGTACACAACGACAGCCAAAGAGCGTACCGAGCAGTCGGGGACCTTGAAAGAAAGTCTTTTGGGAACCCTCGTAGTGCCCGTGAAGCACCCTCTTAGTGGAGATCATTCATGATGTGCTGTTTTGTGAGTGGTCCGAAGTGCACTTGCCAAAGAAAGCGGATCAGCCGACGATGACCCTTTGTCCGCAGCTCTCTCAGGTTGCCTTTGGACGGGCAAGCCTGGAACAGGGGTGCACTTGAGGTTTTGCTCCTCGAGACAGTCGGGTGGCAGTGCCGAGTGCAGCGTACGGTGAGGCATTTATCCACGGTGTCCTGGCCTCCCAGTACGTGGCTGCGTAGGCAGCTGGTGGCTTTGGGAGACAGGCCTTTGTGTAATTGGGCATGCCCCCAAAAGAGTGTCTGCAGCAAGTGTACAGTAGATATCGCTACATTGTGTCGCAAGGATGTGCATTGGCTTCCAGGCCGAATGCTTGCCTTTCCAAGGCCCCGTCACTCTGCGGGTTCGTTGTAGATCCAGCGAGTGCTTCAGCCTCATCGTGACATCCTTCGAAAACTGAGTTTTGCATCATTTTGCCCCCTTGCATCTCTTCCTATGTACTGATGGCAACAAGCCCATGATGATTTTCAAAGGGCCTGCGTGCACACATGGCCTGCTCTGCAAACTGCGTATATAACAGACTGTGCCAAGCTTCTCGAGGCATTGCATACCTTGATCACCCCTCCACGAGAGTATCGGCAAATTCGCAAGCTAGGCATGGGATGCGATCCGCGGTGGACGTTTCGCTCCTTCCGGACGTTGCGTTCCCAGTGCGAGTCTGATGCGGGAATCCTGAGCTCCAGCCATGTCACATGCATTTCGTTGTAAGGCTTTGGGGGCCGCAAAAAGGTTCCGGCCTCCCTTCTCTCGCAAGCCGAGTATGGCGAGGGCTCTCCACCCAGTTCCGGCCAGAGGCCGGCTGTAGCCTCGCCATATCCCAGCTGAGCCAGGGCATCTGGGACGTCTGCATCTTGTTGAAACCACTAGAGGCTCGGGTGCAAGGAAGACGGCGCAGGGCTGGGGAATTGCGAAAATGGGCTTCTGTGGCTTTTTTCTGGGGGCCTGCGAGCTTGCTTTCCAACCTTGAGCAGTCCTCGACCGTATTTGAGTGTCCTTTGCTCCTCTTTGCAGACTCTTGAGCTCATGTTGGCAGTTACAATGGGGTGCAGACGAAGAGAACGAAAGATGTTGACGGTAGGGATGATGGCGACACGGTATCTATGCACATGACATGAGCATGATTGCACTCATGGCTATGTCTCGATGTTGGCTACTGTACTCAGTGTACATGAAACCCTTTGCTGATCTTGATGACTATTGCTATTCGGTGTGTGGCTACAGCTAACTGCCACTGTCACCAGCAGGACGACCACGACAAGAATGACGAGCACAGGGACGACGACCACAACCACGAACACCATGCCGACTAAAACGAAGCGACGATGCATTCTACCACGAGTACTGCTCCTAGTACTTGTTCAGATACTGGGGTTACTGGTGGTGCTGCCATGGAGACGACCACCACCGCCACCGTCACCTGCATCACCGCAATCGATGACGTCACCGCCCTTTGCAATGTTTCTGCGTGCTTGTACCGTTTCTTTTGGTTTCTCTCCTGTCTTTATAGCACAAGTCAGCTCGTCTACTCTTGCCAGTTACCTTGCTGAAAGTTGGTCTTGCCTCATGTCTTCCTGGGTCAACAAGCACCACCATCCCACCTATTAGTAGCTTAGTGACTTAGTGGCATCAGTGTTATCACAGCTCTCATCAACAGCTTTATCGGCATTGAGATGGCTATAGTCACTATAGTCACATATGTCTTCGCTGCTACTCTTTCCTGTTGCTGCGATGACTACTCTTCTCACATGTTTGGGATTGCTCGCGTTGCAGCACTTCGGCTTTAAGGTGCCTAGCTTTCGTGGTGTAATGTTTCAAGACCGCTTCATCTGCAATCGCAGGATTTTGGAAGAGGTGTGCGAAAGTTACCTCTTGACATCACTTGTGTCTGCCGGTCCCATGAGACGTTCCCGCCGGTGCCTCGCCGCGCTCCTCTGCAGCTTTCCCGCAGCCCGACTGCTCTCCCCGGCACAGTCCCTGCACACCTTTGCCATGACGGATGCTGGCGCCAGCCCCATGTGGGAGTCCATGTGGGCCAGAGGCGACCCTCGTTTTTGGGGCTCAAGATCCTCGCTTAGGGTTTAAGGGTTTTTTCGGGGATCCCTTTTTGGGGTTCAAGATCCTCTTTTGGGGTTTAGGGTTTATATCTGGATCCCTTTTTGGGGCTTCAGGGTTTATATGATCCGCTTGAGTTCTTCGGGTGTAGCCACCTTGAGCCATGCGCCTTTTCGGTCAAAGTGGAAAGCCCAAAATCCCTACATCCTACACCCTAAACCCTAAACCCTAAACCGTAACCTAAACCTTATCCGTGCATGAAAACCTGTAAATCCGAGTCCCACGGCCAAACCTCAAACCGGCACCTTGAACCCCAAAACCCCGAATTCCGAAAACCCCAACAAATCCTTAATATCCTAACCTCCTTCGGATCCATAGCCAACCCACCTTAAGCCCAAGACCATTAAACCCTGAAAACCTTTCGCAATCCTGAAACCATAAATCCTAAACTTTGTCTTAGCTGGATTGGTGAGGTGGAAAAAGGTGCTAAAAAACAAACCTTTCTGGTGCCCGACGGAACCGCAAAAAACGCTTCGGTGGGAAGTGAAAGGAAACCCTAAACCCTAAACCCGAGAGGTTTGCGGCCCAAGGAGGCCTTTGACTGCGGCGAAGCCTCGCCAACTCTGACGGAAGTTCTGCGAATGAAGCTGCTCGGCCTGTAAGCTTTGGGGGGGGCGGTTAGGGTTTAGGGGCCTTTAGGTGGGGGCCTTCTGGGGCCTTTGGGGTTTAGGGGTTGAGGGGTTGCAAGTTTAGGGGTTGAGGGTTTGGGTGTTTAGGGTTTCGGGGCTTTAGGGTTTCGGGTTGAGGGTGTTCTGCAGAGCTCAGGGCGGCAGGGCTTGAGGCTTTAGGGTTTGAAGTTTAGGGCTTTCGGGCTGTGGGGGTTTCGGGTAAGAGTCGGGATCTAGGGCTTGGAGTCCTGTTGCTACTGACAGTTGCCTGCATTTCATGCCGACTTCTTGGGGAATCTCGCGCTGAAGCTTGTGTGCCTCTCCCCTTGCGTTTCTTTCGTCCCGTGCTTCTTCTTTGCTAACACTGGACAAAATCAACCATCAAAGGGGGCAGGCGACATATCTCCGTGACTGACAGAAGCAGCCTCACGCTAAACCCTAACTCTAAATCCTACCTGACCTTTGAGTGCAAGCCCGGCCTTCCAACAAGCAGGAAGTCTTAGCATCCGGATCCGACATAAACTGGTGGGATTTAGGGTTTTCGGGTTTAGGGATTGGGAATTTAGCTTTGAGGGTTTTCATCCGCAAATCCTCAGGTCGTTGGGCGACTGTGCAGGGAAACGAGCGCTCGTCCCCGGCTGTGGCCGTGCCTATGACCTTTAGCTGCACAGGCAGAAGACCCGAAACCCTAAGCCTTCAACCCGGAGAAAGGGTCACTTCTTTTTCAAAGCAAATCCTCAACCCTGAATGTGATAATCAGAGGGAGACTGGGAAGAGCCTTGTTCAGAGCAATTAAGACGCAGACAGTTGGCGCTCCTACCCATAGCTGCGACAATGATAGTCAGGAAAGGCTGATGGACGGCAGGGCGCCGCGGATAACTGTAGGTCTTCAGCCCACAGGAAGCTGCACCCGACATGCACAGAAGCACTCTCTTTCGAACATTTGCTGCCGGTTCGTTTGCTAGCTGCCGTCACCTCGGGTCCCTAGGTTTCTCGAGGGTGACACTTGCTGCATTTCCTTCTCTGTAACCTACGCATTTCCCCAATGTATCCTATGCAGGCCTTAATTAAGCAGATGAGCGACGCTGACCACAGAATCACATCAAGCCATTTTGAAGCCGGGTGTCCCAGAGCCTCAACCATGACTCAGCTATGAGGATGCCATCGCGCTTGCAGAGTATGGTTTCGACAGTGGCCTTGGTTGCAGAGCCTCATTTTCTCAGTGACAGAGTGGTGTAGAGCCCGCGTTACCCCAAGCCCTAAGCCCTGACTGAGAGGTGTTGTCGCCATTGACCTGGCACCTACGGCAGTTGACGCTGCAAGGGACTTCCTGAAAGCCTCCAGCAGCCCTGCAGCCTCCAAAATCGAGGTCTTAGGGGTGAGGGGTCCGGTAACCACCCCAAATGCTAAGCCCTAACATCACTTTGTTTTTTTCTTCTGGTCGAATATTTCAGGTCGCTAGTCATTCCTTGAAGAAATGTTAAGGATTTCGGCTTGTGACACGAAGCGCACTTGCACAAGATTACAACCCTGTATATTAGGCTAGGCTTTAGGGTTTAGGGTATTCCATCAGGGTTTAGTGTATTCTGTCGGCCTGCTCAAGATTGCTTCTGGGCCACGCCTTGGATCAAATGAGCCAGCAGAACTCAGTTTGTGAATTCCAAAAACCTGGGACATGAGTGCAACATGAAAAAGCTCAACTGGATTAAAACAGGGGATCTGTGGAAGGAAGGTTAGGGGTTTAGGGATAATGCAGTCCCTTCAGGGTTTATCCAAGTAGGCAGCACTAGTTGTATAAGACCACAGTGAGATTGCAAGCTCGGTGCCCCATAATTTCGGTGATTCTGACCTCGGACAGGTTGCCTGCGCAGACTTCTTTAAGTTCGAGCTCGAGCCCAAAGCTGATGTGATCTGGGACTCTTGCCCAAACCTAATTAATGTACATGGCTTTCTGGAAGATTAGATTTGTGGTCGAGTCTTCCGCAACGAGCAGTGGCAACACCAAGCGAGATCTACGTCGATGGATGCCCAATCTTGTTGTTTTAATGCTGCTGTGATGGTATGGTGCTACCCGCAGTTTGCTGGATGGTTGTGACTTGAAGTCGTAGCCACAAATCGCTAACCCCTAATGCCCTAAACCCTCAACCCTCAGCCCTAAACCCCAAACCTTAACGCCCTAAACCCAATACCCAAAGCCCTCCGCACACCCTAAACCCTAACACTCTAAACCCCAAGCCATGAGCTCCAAACCCAAAGTGCTAAGGACTGCACATTCCTCTGCGCCTTGGACCCCAGCGTTCGGACAGACTGGGCAAAGTGGCTCGGACGACAGGGGCGTTCATCACAGGATTTCCGGGAGGGGTTCGCGAATTTCAAGGTTCTTGGAGTTTAGGGTCTAGGGTTCAAGGTTTAGGGCTTTCGGTCGGTTAGGGTTTGCGGTTTAGGTTCTTTCTTGGTATCAGGGGCCTGCCTCCGATATGGCTCATGCTTCGTGGTTTAAGGCCTACACAGTGAAGGCTTTTTCTGTTGTTTGGGTGTAGAGTTTCAGGTTTAAGGTTGTCAAGGGCCAAGGGTTTTAGGGTTTAGGGTTTTGCTGCTTGTTTGAGTTTGGGCTTAGGATTCACAGGGCCATGGCAGTTTCGGTTGGAGCTTCCTCCATATGTGTTTAGGACCGTGGACTAGTGAAGGCACTTAGATCCAGGCTTATCATGATAAAAGGCAGCTGCATGTAGGTGACTTGGGAAGATGCCCCGGTCATCTAAGCAGAGAGGGTGTAGGGCTTGAAAGCATGTCGAATGGTCCTAAGCCCGAAATCCTAAACATTGAATCCAACAACACGTAAACTTCAGGCCTAAACCCTAAGCCCGAAGCCCTAAACTCTTCGCCCTCAACCTTAAACTTAAACCCTTTTTGAAGTTGGACGGGCACTGGATTCCAACTAGTCCTGCAATGCGAGGCTCCTTTGGGGCCTGACATGAGTAAAGTCTTAGGGAACGAAAGACTCTATAAAGCCCTCACAGCCCGGAACGCACTCAAACTCTAAGCCCCACGGCTTTGGGTTTAAGACGGTTTCGGAAACCCTAAACCCTAAACCCTAGGGTTTAGGGTTCTCTAGAGGAAGATGAAGGCGCTGCTCAATCCGGGCGGAACACTCTTGACCTGTCTCTCGGCATTCAGCAGGTACTGGTAAGTGCTGCTTGGGAGAGGTTGCGGCTTTTTTGAGCATTTATGGGCTCTGAGGCACTTATGATAGATATCTCGTGTGATGTTGATGATAACTAGGAAGATTGTGACGGTGGCGATGAGGCTGCTGATGATGGTGATGGTGGTTGTGATGACAGCATCCGCTGATTACAGTGTGATAAGAATGATAATGGCGATGTTGATGCACATGCTGATGCTGATGCTGACGCTGGCAGTGTTGGCTGTGGTCGTTGCTGCTGGTGGCAGTGATGACGGTTTCGAAGTGGTCGTAGTGGCGGCAGAGATTCTGGTTGTGGTGGTCGTGGTCGATGTGATGACGACAATGATGATGACGATGATAAGATGCTTTTGTTGATGCAATGGTGATGACGATGAGACGATGAGGGTGAGCAGGAAAAGGAGGATGAGGGCGAGATGTTGTTAGTAGAATTAGAACCATGTCATGACAAAAGCCATGCTCTGAGACTCGAAGGTATCTTCCCCATCTGCGAGAAGGAGGGTGGACCGCCTTTCGCAATGTCTGTGCCCCTCGTGCGCGGCCTTCTTGAGCCGGAAGGATCTCTCTCGTTTGCCTATTTTGGGCTTAGGGCTTCGGGACTGTTGGCGGTTGCAGGGAGCTGTAGCGCAAGAGCAGCAGCGACAAGCAGAGCTGCCAACAAACCAACCAGGCGGGGAGAGCAAAACGAGTTTAATTTGGATGGCAGCAACGACAGCGGCCGGAGGGCAGCTTCTAACAGCTTTAACATCTGTGACTTTTCATGAAGCAGAGTAGTGTAGAATAGCCGCAGCACTTACATCAGCTGCGAGAGTGCAGCGCCAATAAGAAGTTTGTTCACCTTGCAGGCAGTGAAGGCAAGAGTCACAGACACAAGCAGCACTCTCGCGAAACTAAGCGCATCGTAAAGCTCCGAAGTTCTATGTCCTATCCCCGAATGCTTCTTTTTCTACATCGCAGGATTCGAAGCCGCGGAGGTCCGTGAAGATGCGCAGCATGGCTTCAGCCTTCGATCTCTGGTCCGTTTTGCTCACCCCTCCGGCCCTACGGCTACAGCACCATCATCGTGGACATGCATTAGGGTTCAGGGTCGAGGGTTTACGATTACGGGGTTTAGGGTTTGGGGTTTACGGGGTTTAGGGTTTAGGGTTTACGATTACAGGGCTTAGGTCTTAGGGTTTGCGGTTTAGGGTTACAGGGAGCAACGAACAAAGAGCACATGCAAAGGCAGGAAGATCAGGGAGAAATCTCGGCGGAATGATGAGTTTGAAAGAAGCAGACAAACCGCACATGTGCCATACCCGTCGAATGGAACCTGTACAAATGATAGAAGTATATGTGTGTGTATATATTTTTAAAAAATCGTATTGTGTTATTTTGCTGTACTATTCTTGCAGGAGGGAGTTTCTTCCAGTCGGTAGGTTGTGGCTCGCTCAGGCAGAAGCACACAGCAGGAGGAGGTGCGTTTTCGGCGAACACCGACGCTCGATGCTGCAAAGCTTTTCAGGATTTTCGCAGCTGTTGAAATTTGGAGCTCCGTTTGGTCTGCTTAAGTCCCTTGAGAATCATGAGGGTTTTCAGAGGATCCTGACCCTAAAGCCTACCCGCATTCTCGGAGCCTCTAGACACTAAACCCTAAATCCTAGACCCTAAACCCTAAACCCGAATTGTCGGAGCCTCTAATGAGGGACCGAACTGAATCCTAAGTCGGCATGTGACCTGCCCCAAAAGCCAAGCCATGAATGTGGGTTTAGGGTTGAGGGTTGAGGGCCCAAGAACTTTCCAAGGCAAGCAGGAGAAGATCCTCCTCGAATCTCATCTAATCTACCCTACTTCCTCCCTTACAGTCCTTGGTTTTGTCTAGGGCTTTAGGACCCTAAAGCCTCTCACATGGTTAGCTGCTCCGTGGAATAACGCTTGCACCTGAGATCTTCAACCGTCACCCACATGAACCTTTAGGGTTAAGGGTTCCACGACCTAATCCTAAGACTGTAGATCTATACCCCCCGATCCTCAACGGCGTACCTTAAAAAAGCTTACACCTCAGCCATTGAATCCTAAACCCAACACCTTTCAACCAAAGTTTTGCACCTTCACATCTAACCCCTACGTCTTAAATTGAAGTTAAAACTCCCAAGCCCTGTCCCGAAACCGCAGCCCTAAACCCTAAACCCTAAACCCTAAACCCTAACACAAAAAGCCCTAAACCCCAAAGTGCAAAGCTTCAGTCCGAGGCCTTGGGTCGGTGGATCCTCAAAAGCTGAGTCAAAGGGGTGCGTGTCCGGGAGGAGGCGTGGGATTTAGGGTTTAGGGTTCAGGGTTTAGGGGTTTAGGGTTTAGGGTTCAGGGTTTAGGGTTTAGGGTTTGGGGTTTAGGGGCTTCAAGGTTCTGGAGTGAGGGCTTAGGGCCAGGGCTTTCAACCCTAAACTCACTTAAACCAGGGTGTCCTGGCTTTACTTGGGGAGTACCCCTCTGACGGTTGGGGCTTGGGTCAGTGGGGCATAGGTTTGAGGTTGGCAATGGCTCAGGGCTTATGGTGTAAGGCGTCGGCTTTGGAGTCTATGGTTTATCATTGAGGATTTAAGGCTTAGGGCTTGGAGTCTAGGGTTTAAGGTATCGGGTTCACACCACAAATGCGCCCATGGGGTTGGCCTTTTGATGGGACGCCGTACTGGTGTTGCAGACGAGATCTTACTGGCGGATCATGGATAGCCGAGTTGACAGAGTGATCCCTAGGCCTAAACCCTGAACGTGAAAGCATGAGCCAAAACCCGAAATCCTAAACCCTGCGCCCTAAACCCTAAACCCTTAGGATAATCCTGGTAGCAATCAAGAAGCCGTAGTTGATGATCAGCCTCCCAGGCGACCTCCTGAATCTCCGAAACCCTGCGTCACTTTGACGGCGGCTTGGGGCAGCAAGGGTGCCTTCCCAAAACACGGGGTTCTGAATTGATTATTAGTAGTAGTATTCCGTCGGATTCTTGATTATCTTCATGACAGAATGTACCCCAAAACCCTGTTCCAACTATTACGGCCGTATATCCCCATAAAGCCCTGTGCATCCCTATAGAACCTTCATAGAAGCCCTCAAAATAGGGCCCCCCAAAGCCCAGAAACAAACAATAGGACAGGGATATCCCATATAATTAAACCCACTTGTAATAAAACCCAATAACGTAGGGATATCCTTGTAAAAAATGCTCATGCTTATGTCGTTTTCGAGGCCCCCTATCAAAGCATACCCGCTCTAATTTTGAAGGACCCTGTGCCAAGCCTGCTGGGATTTCAATATTCATGGTCGTATCGCGGCAAAAATTATCATACCAAGAACAACGTTCGTCATAGTTAGAACATCAATCAACAAATAACAACACTGGTAGTAATGCTAATCCAACCCTAAACCCAAAACCCTAAAACCCTAATACCTTAAACCCAAAGCCTTAAACCCCTAAGACCCTAAACCCTAAACCCTAAAACCCTAAAACCCAAAACCCTACGATAAGTAGAAGAACAAGGGTTTGGGGTGTCGACCCTGAGCCTCGAGCAAATTCAGAGCGCCTCCGGCAAAAGCGCAAGACAAGCGCAGCGGCCTCCTGGGTTTAGGGTTTAGGGTTCAGGGGTTTAGGGGTTTAGGAGTTTAGGGGTTTAGGGTTTAGGGGTTTAGGGTTTAGGCTTAGGGTTTAGGATTTGGGGTTATGCGTTTTTGGTGTTGAGGTTTTCAAACCCTAGGTTTTCAGTAGTTTTGTCACATTCGGTTTTAGAGGTCTGTAGAGGTTTGCAAGTTGTATCAAATTAGGGTCAAAGCTTTTCCAAGTCATATCATATCAGGTTTGATCATATAGGTTTTAGAGGTTTTCAAAGTCATGGCATGCGGGGTATTTGCTTATCCGATGGGTGCTGACATCAAGATTTCTGAAATGTTGGGTCTAGCAATGTGACAAGAGAGGCTGGAGCCTGCACTGTGGTCCTTCTAGGAAGATTGCTGACATGCTGCAGGAGAGGTTGAAGCCATGCTGGCTCAGGGCAAGTAAACCCCGAAACCCTAAACCCAAGCCCCATGCCATACAACCGTTTGTGTCTTTGTCTTAACAAGATAGGGCAATGAGCCGAATGAGTCAAAGGCGGCAGTCAGAAGGACCAGAGCCGTGCTGATGACTCGCAGTCTGCACCAGGAGTGATCTTGAGATGCAGAATCACGGGAAAGGAAGTTATGTAACCTTAAGCTCCTAGTGCAAAGCCCTTGTCATCAGCCGCAGGGAAGGCCTTCTTGCCTTGATTTTCGAACCTCGGCCAAAACGGCGTTCTTGCTTGTTCGGCCGGGTTTGGGGGGTGGGTTTGCGGAGTCCCGGAATGAGGCGCAGGAAGCGGGCCATGTTACACTACATTAGTACAAGCAACGCCTAAACTCTTTTCTAGCTTTTAAGGCTTTTTCGTTATAGAGACCCCACCTGATCTGAAATGAGGCGAAGGCAAGGCTGACAGGAGGGGATCTTCTCCAACATTTGAGCTGCCGTGCTGTTTTACTTTGACTAGGCTTTGCTGCATGCGTCAGCGTTGCGGGATTTCAGCCTTTTTTAGTGACCGCTACGTTGTAGCGTCGTTATGAGTAACGTTCTTCTGCATGTCCGGGATGCACTGCTGTGTCTGTGGACCGAGTCAAGACGGTTGGTTGTGTGCTCAAGTGGGTTGCTAATGCTTCTGACGCCCGGGTGAGCTGTTACCCTAAACCCCAATCCCCTAAACCCTAAACCTGTTTCCGATTCATCTTGTCGCATTTCAGTGCTGCAAAGCCGTCTTGTGAACTGGGAAGGCTAAACCTTGAGCCCAAACTGGTGGCTAGTCTCCACATGCCAAGATGCAGCCTAGAGTCGAATGGTGTTGGTGCTTGGGTTTCATGTATTTGGCCAGTTTTCTAAAACAGGGCCCCTTTTAGAGTCCTTTTTTCTAATTGTGCCCTACTGTCAGTCTGTATTGGGGGCCTAAAAGAGGACCCTAATTTAGAGAACTACCCCAGTTTGGGGTTGCGACTTCGGCCATGCACTCTGCAGCGCGCCTCTGGCGAGCACCAGGCCGGCCCCGGTGCTCAAAGTTGTGGGTCAATGGGTCCCTGTCGGCGGGTTCCTTTAAGGGGTTCCTTCACGGATTCCTTTAAGGGTTTCTCTAGGGTTCCTTCAAGGGTTCCTTTAAGGGTCCCTGCCAGCGTTCCTGCCAGGGTTCTAAATTTGAAGTTCTAAAGGTGTTCCTATAAGGGTTCTATGAGGACGGGGTTTAGGAAAAAACTTTCAATGGATGTTACGCAATATGGTTATGATTGTGATGATGGTCATATTGGCTGTGTTTCTATGTCTGGGGCTGTGGTTGTGAGAATCCCAAAACCCCTAAGCCTTAAGCCTGAAACCCTAAACCCAAAACCCGAAACCCAAAACCCGAAACCCTAAACCATGCTTTACAGAAGGTGCCCAGTGGGCTGGGCGTTTCTTCGCCTCCGGGGTCGAGGTCGGCGGGAGGTTCAGGGCTTTTTGCTTTGAGGTCCTGGGGGGTTCGGGTTTGGGGAGGCTTTAGGTTTGGAGCTTCGGGTTTGCGCGTTAGCGTTCAGGGTTTGATAGGTTTCAGGGTAGTCTTCAGGCATTCTAAACCCTAAACCCTAAACCGTGCACTTTAGATTCATCAGAGCTCCGCGGCCTACCGGCTTCGCAGTGCCTTTCGCCGTGGCGGTTTCGGAGTTCCAAACTCGCAGGGATCTGGGTTCAAGCCTTAGCTACTTTGG